GGGAGCCCCGGAAAGATGAGCAGCATGAAAACACTCTATGAGGGTTTGGAGGAGCTACAGGAAGAGTTGGAGCCAGACCACACAAGACAGAGAAGACTTGAGAGAACATGGACACATGGTTCCATTTGGAGGGAGACAGACAAGGTCTCCAAAGTGAGGTCAGCCCATGGAAATTAGGTCCTTTGCCTCTAAGCTTCTCATTTGCTATCAACAAAATGTGTGCAAAGTATGTGCACATGGTGGTGGAGTGTAGGAGAGGGAAGTACGTATGGTATGTGGTATCTGTGTATGTGAGATATGTGTAGGGTAAGAGACAGGCTAAGCAACGCAATTATTCCCCAGGTACAGACAGTGGCGGTCCCTCTTAGCACTCCCTTTCTCTCTCACCTGCTCCCATCTGGGAGGGGATTAAGGATCACAAACATTGTGAGCAGAATCCACAATAGCAGGGTTCCTACCTGAACCCACTGGCTAGGAAGTCTGCCTTCCCACTCCTGTGTGTGTGTGTTTCGTCTCGGGGGTTGAGGTATGTGTGTGGGGGAGGTGGGAGTAATGTCTTGCTTGTGCTGTGCTTATCTCAGAGTGTTCTCTTAATTGCTGGTTTGGTTCTTGCCAATCACTTGGCTTGATTCACTGCACAGTAACTCAAAGCCAAAGGAACCTGGGTGAGGAGATTAGTTGGGAGGAGGGGGGTGCAGATGAGGCTCTAGCAGGGAGCTCTTCTTTGTGTCTATCCAACGTGGCTGCAGAAGGCTAGGCCTGAGTGTGTGAGGGCCCCTGGTGACCCTGGCTGCCTGGCCCCTCACGTTCTGGGTAGCTGGGAGCTCTGACTAGGGCTGCTCCGCATTGGAGTGCTCCTCTCTCAGAGTGAGGGTGGACAGCCACTGGTGGGACAAGGGGTGAGGACACTGCTCAGCTCCTGCCAAGGCCCAAGAGGCCCCTGTTACCTGATGAGTTCTATGAACCTCTCCCTGGGGGCTTCACTCACGTCCTCCTCATTAATAGCCACAATCTGGTCACCAGCCAGGAGCTTGTCCTCAGAGGGGCCTCCTGCAGAGGAGAGGAGAGAGGTGTGAGGCCTTGGAGCTCTTGCTGAAAGCCCACGTCTGGGCAAGAGTCACAGTGCCTGAGGGAGCCGAAGCGGTCCCGGGGGCCTGCAGGAGAAGACGCAGGCTGAGCAGGGGTGGGGTAGGGGTGTCACCAGAGCTCTGCTGCTGCTACTGCAGCTGCCTGTGACAGACTGAGGAGGGCAGGGGAATGAAGGAAGAGAACGGAGCAGGCCTCCTTCAGGTGGGAGCGGGACGGTAGCAAAAGGTCCTAAGCCCAGACCTCATCCTCAGACGAGGTTCATAAGCGCTTTCCTGGCTTGGTTCTCTAGAAGAACAGACACTTCATTTCACGGCAGTGATCTGCTTAAGCACAGGCAAAAGACTTCCAGACAGCTGGAAGTGGTACTGATGACCAGAGAAACCGGGGGTGGGATGGGGGCATTGTCTTCCTTGACCGTGATTCATACTTATTGGTCTGAATGATTAAGGCATGCTGAAGATGGGGATGTATTCAAAGACCTAATGAGCTTAACTTTCTTCTTAACACTGAGAGATGCTACTCTCCAATAAAAGAGGGGAACAAGGTACAGCCTCTTGGGCACCTGGAAATTTACTTTCTCTCTTTCCCATGTCTACGGCTGAGGGTGAGCAAGGAGGCATGTCTGAGGGCCATACCTTCTTGGCTGGGTGAAGGGCTGGGGTAGAGGGGCACCACAAAGCTGTGCTGGCTCTGATTAGCAAAAGGTCTTCTTGGAGAAAGCTTTTCAAAGACTCAGCTCGACAGAAATATTTAATGACATGCCCCACTCTCAAATCAGCCTTGACTCTTGTTTGCGTCCACTTTGAAGGACCAGATCCCAGCTGCTCACTCTTTCTAATGAAGTGTGCTGCCCAAATTCCAAAAACAGGAACATACCCAGCAAATATGTCACTTGAGCCCAGCTCAATGGCCCTGGAGCCTGGGGTCTGCACACTGAGGATGGCTATGCCAACACAGGCAGCAGGATTCCCCAGTTGACCAGAGTGGCCCGAAACCCACCAGGCCAAGTCCACTGACCACTCACTGACTTTAGGAGCTAAGAGCACAGGGATGAATAGTACGCACTTTGCAACCAGACAGACCTGAGTTCTACTCTTGAGTCTACAAGTCACTAGATCTTGGATCTGTGATCTTGGATGAGACACTTGATCATTCCCAGTCTGCCTTATCTCATCTGTAAAATGGGAAAATAATAGTAACCAATACATCACAAAAATGGTGGGAGGATAAATGAAATGATGAATTATAGTACTTAAAATAGTTGCTTGATGTCGGCAAGAATTTGATAAATGGTACTTCTATCCTCCAAGGGACAATTCCTTCAATTCTTTGCATGCCTTCTATTTACTTCCTCCAAAACTTCCACTCTTATGTGGAGCCCACTCTATCTATCTATCTATCTATCTACCTACCTACCTACCTACCTACCTAATCTCCCTCCCTTCACCTTTTCCTCAATTCCTCCCAGAACTTGATATTCCTTCCTAATAGAATTCAACCTCCTTCATGGGCCTTCGCCCTTTGACAGCAGGGGTAGCAGCCATCTCTTACTGCTTTCACGATTGGTTTGTTGGCTTGCTCAACCAGAACTATTCTTCTGTAGGATCCCTCTTTGTCTTTTCTAACCACTTCGAATATAGAACCAAAGCAGTCCTCTGCATGCAGGAGCCACAAGGGCCAGATGCAGCAAGGTGAATGAGCACCAGGCCTTTGCAGGGCTGTGCCCGGCAGACCCATGGCTTTGCGGGGCTTTTGCCCCAGGGCTTTCCTTCTCTTCACCCATTCCAATTCCTTCCTCTTCATTCCCTATGCCTTTCACAGCTGACCTCCCTCTGGGCCTGGGGACTTTCTGTTTGCTTTGAAGTTAAAGTAGGCTCTCCTGGTGGTCTGTTACTAAGATTTATCTCATCCCTTTTTCCCAGGACAAATCCAATTTCTGATCAGAAACTCAAACTGCATGACTGAATCAGGAGCCTTAGGTCAGCCATGAACTCCTGTACTGCTGAATTTTTTTTTTTTTATCACTGCTGTGCCCTCTAGTTGAAGAGACAGCTTACAAAAATCTTTTTCTTTGCCTTTGAGGATTGCAAAATTCATCAAATTTCTGCAAGACCAGTTTGTACTCCGGCTGCTCCTCTTGACTGAGAGAGAAACTGTTGTAAACATCTAAAGCCTCAGGCCCAGCAAGTCAAGAATAAAGCTCCTTTCTGTGTCTTTTCTATCAATGACTAGAATACTCAGAACAAAACAGTGCTTTTTGTCCTTTCTCATTTCATTCATGATGGCAGCATTTCACAGCTCAGGGGTAGCCTCTGCTAGGCCTATCCCACATGGTCCCTCCCATTCAAGCCCCACCTACCCCAGGCGGCATCACACAGGCCAAGGTGCCTCTTAGCTGAGTGACCCTGGGCAAGTCATGCTCTTCTTCTATGCCTCCATCCCCTCATTTGTGAAATTGGAATGGTATGACTTACCTTGCAGGCTTGACTGTGAGGATTAAACAAGGTGATGGCAAGTACATAGGAGACATACATGAGTATGCACCAGTCTCCATAGCCTGACGGTTAGATTCTTGAGGACAGGAACTGTGTCTTGTACTTTCCTACAACATTGCTGGGCTTAGGATAGGCAATCTATAAATACTTGTTGAATTGAACTGGATAGGTAATTTCTCATCCAAGGCATTGTGGCTCTACTATGAATTTTCAGGGCAAAGGGAAGCTTTATTAAGACCAGACTGTATTAAATGATCAATTGCAGCCTCTGTCTGGGACTTAAAGCTGCCTCAATGCTTTGCATCTATCATTCTTGAAAGGCTAGCTTCCTCATACAGTGATTGGTTGGCAAGTCTTCACCTGCTCTTCCTGAATTCTCCAGCAACATGGTACAGTTGCAAACTGCTCCTTGGGCAGCTATGTGGGTATCAGGAGATAGGAGCCAGGGCTGGGGAGGGGTGCTATGAGGGACACCTACCTGGCCTCACAGATCGAACCACCACGGGCCTCTCACTGCCAGCCACGAAGCCAAAGCCATATATAGGGTCCCGGTGAATGGTCACATGTCGCAGCGTCTCTGCTGGCAGCTGCTCACATTCCATATCATTTGCGCTCTCTTCCTGCATCACATGACTAGGGGAGGGGGAAGATGGGAGCAAAACAAGATGCAAAGGGAACTAAGCCGCAGAAGCAGTTGGAAGGGACATCTGTTAGGGTTCTGGCCATGGCACCCGGGAGTTCACAGCTTAGCTTCCCAACATCCTCTGCAACTGATGGAGGTGATGACTGCCTCACATTTCAGATTGGAGGAAGAGGAATGTAGAAAGGAGAAGCCCATTGTCTTTAGGGCTCCAGTCAACAGAAGAAACACTTTAGAGGCAGACTTCCTTATCTAGGATATTCCAACTCCAGAAGGAGGCTAAATGCGAACGTGCTATTCTGAAGGTAACTGGTATCACCCAGGGAATTGGCCACTAAGTCCCTAAGGGAGCCCAACACCTTGAGAGAACAGGCCAGGAAACAGGCAAGTAAGTGGCAAAGGAATGTGAATTTTTTCCAGCCTGTGGGGAGGGAGTTCCTTCATGAAGTCCTGTGTAATCTTTACTGTCTCGTAGGCAACATATAAAGATGAACTACTTCTGGTGGCATCTAAAAACAAAGGTGCTAATGTTTGAGACCATTACCTCAAACAGTTGTACATAATGCCAACTCACTTCACTTACTGGGACGCTTGGGAAATGGCTCCTACAGCCAGAAAGGGAGGTGCATCTGCAGGCCTGACACCCAGAGGGGTTGGCAGAAGAGAAACTGCAGCTCTAACACCTGGGAGAGATTACGGATTGTTCTCCTGATGCCCACAACTTAAGTTACCGAAGCTTAGGAATTACCCAAGAGTGTTCCAAAGGTTCTCTATGAAGGGCTGGGCTGAGGAACACTTCAGGCAAGTGTAGGCCTGAGTGTAGTATCCAAATGAAAAGCCCTGAGGGGTAAGGGTGTAGGAGCATTGGGGGTCTGTGAGAGCACAGGGAAGAATCAAAAAGGGGAACGGAAGACCCAAGAGAAAGGCAGGGCAGGTGAAGGTGGGAAAGAGGGGGCCAGAGCCTTAGATCCTTAACTTGGCACCATAGCACCCCCAGGCTTTCAGGCCTGCCGGGTGGGCATATGTTCTCTCACCTCAGCAAGTATAGTCTCTAAAATTAAGGTCCCAGGCAGGGCTTTCAGACCAAGATGGAGGCAGCTAGGAGCTAATTCATCAAACCAGAATAAGATTTGTGAAAAAAAGTGGGAGGTTTTGACATCAAGAGAATGACTCGATTTTTGACCAACAATACTAAACTGGTCAGAAGCAAAAGGTTTCAAGCAGCTAGGTTGTTTATCAAGACACAAACACGAATTCAGTAGAGAGGAGCTTTAGGACTATGTATTGGAGAAAAGGGAGAAGATTTATTGTCATTGCATGAAAGAGAATTGGAAAAGAACCCCAGAATTGTCTCTGTCCTACAGGGATCTGGGAAGGAAGGCAGAGCACGGTTACTTGATTGTAATTCCTGCATGCTGGCCACACCCAAGTGGGCTTGAAGTTGACCTAAGACCCCTTAGGGAGGTAGAAGGGGATGCCAGGGTGAGGTTAAGTCTTCATAGGCAAGTTTGGAAAATGGCTCCTTGCCTCGCACACCGGTAAGATTAATTGTCACTTTCCTCTGACAGTCACTTGGAAGCTGCAATGTCCTGAATAGGTACCTTCCTGGGACAGAGACTCTGCGAGGTGACCTCAGGCTGGCCCCTCTCTCATGCCTGCTCCGAGTGGCAGGAAGGGAGCCACAGAACCCTCTCCTGCAGCTGTTCCTCTTGCCTCCCCAGCGAGGCTGTTTCTGAAACGAGTCCTTTGCCTCCCGCCATCCGTTTCCCTTTTGATTTCACCTGCACTCAAAGGGCCTCTTCCTCATTTCTGTCATGGGCACCAGCCAGCGCAGCCCGAATGATGATAGCCTGTCTAGCTGTGTGGCCTGTGGCATGGGGAGTGGGAAGGCCAGCAAGGAAGCGGCAGGTGTGCTGCAGAACAGCTGGCCACACTGGCCTGCACTCAGGTTCCCACGGCCAAGGCAGCCTCTGACTCATCCCTTCTTCTTTCTCTGGGGCTGAGTATACTTCAGTCTCCTCCAGGCCTTTATCACCAATACTGAGGGAAACGGGCAGTCCTGAAACTAGGGGAACCAACAAACCAAGAGCCTTTGCAGCACAAGTATTTTGCCTTATTCTTCTGAGTCGTGTTAATCAATCAACAAGTATTTATCGAAGCCTGTAGATGGTCCAGAGCTCTGGAGGACCCAAGTCACAGAAACCTGCCCTCAAAGAGCTTGTAGTCCAGCTGAGGGAGGAAAGGCCAGTGTGCCCTGCACTAGAGAGAGTGCTAAGACCAGTAGCTGAAGTCTAGAGCTAAGTGCCAACTTGCACGTTTGGAGGAGTGGATGGCCAAGTTGGAGAAGGCTCCACGGAGGAAGTGGGGACTGTGCTGCCTGGCCAGGAAAAGGAAGACTTGGGAAGAGAGACAACAGTGGAAGCTCTGTCTGTGCTCTGGCCCCACCTTCTCCAAGGGGCCCAGAGAGTTCTTCCACCACCACAGACATGTCTCCCTGGGCTGGCCCTAACGGAGCAGGAGTAACCATCCCGAACTGGATCCTTCCCTCAGCTCCAGGGACAGCCCTTTCCTCAGGCTGCCTGGATCTTGCCAGGCATCTTGGGGCAGGGCAGAAACACCTCCCTTGCAGGCCAGAAGGCCGTTCTACAGTCCAAATCCAAGTTGTCTCTTCTCTCCTGGGGTTTGCCTCTTTCAGCGTCTGCAGCTAAGTCCCTCTGAAATTTGCTAAGTGCCTGGAGACTTGGGAGTGACTCTGAAGGCAAGCAGTGATGGATGACAGGAGCTCAGCTGTCCATGGGTCACGTGATGGCCCTCCAGGGGGACACAGCCAATTTGACTTTGAAAGATGTTTGGCTTCTGGTCCCTTCCAACAAGGCAACCCTGAACACAATTATGAAGGAGCCCAAGCTTATGCGTCCCCTAACCCCCACCACTTTGTCTCAGGGACCTGCTGTTTTCTGCTTTTGTCTGCTCTAAAGCATACAATGCCTTCATTCTGTCTCCTTCCTACAGCAAGTCCCGAAGGGTGTTCCCTCCTCCAGCATGGGCTTGCCCGCTGTATTCAGTGACCAGGTAGAGAGGCCAAGCCTTTCTCTTCTGCCTAATGATAAGAACACTTTAGCTCCACGTGGTTCTTTCCAGCTTTACGTCCGCTACCTCATTTGAGAAAAGGTACTTTCATCTCCATTATCTCCTCACAGCCTCTAACTGTCCCACCCAAAAGGCTATGTGACTGCTCCTCCTCCATGCCAGCCTCAAAGGGAGGACAAGCAGAGCAGAACTACACGCATGTGAAGCCGCAGCTGGAGCCAAATCTCTCAGGGCCATAGCAGCATCTCCCATGTGTACCTGCTCAAGGTCCTGGATGCTCTGGCTATCCCCAGTCTCCACCGCAAGACTGTCCCAATCCTATGGCCAGCAGCGCTTCTTGTCCTGGACTGGCCTGGATGCTCAGCCCACATCATAATGGACCTGTCTCTGATCCCATTTGCTGCACAGTGTTGGAAGAATGAAATGAGATCATAGCTACAGGAGCACTTAGGAAGGTTAAACATATCACACAAATGTAGAGGTGGTCCTATTACTGGGAGCATTATTTAGGATCCAAAGAAGGATCAATAGCTTGAGCGCATGTCAACGACTGATGGTCGGCAGGACATGGCTAAAGCATAATGAATGGAGAAGGAGACAGAATGGTTCTAAGCTGCTGGTCTCCTCCCAGCAGGAGGAGAAAGAAATAGAAGAGCTACATTTTCAGGCATCAGCTTTCAGTGCTCCATCCCTCCTTGCCTTTGGCTCCTTTTTCTTTACATTTGGTTGGCTCCTTGGGGAGTCTTGTCACTCCTCTCACAACTGGCAGGATTTGGAGTCATGTGGGGCCAATTAGCCCTCTGATTCCAGTAACAGGAGTCTGAGTCTTCTGGAAACTCCAGAGACCCAGCATGGTGGGCTAGCACCATGAGATGCCATGTTCTCTTAGCAGCAGGGCTGGGAGCCCCAACCCTGGGCATTGGAAGTAGCCGCGGTGGGTGCCCTCTGGTGAGGAGCTGGGTCACAGACCACTAGGTAAAAGACATGCTTCCTGTAACGAGCCCTCACCTGCCACTTCTGCTACCTGCTTCAGCAGTGATGCTCCAACTGTAGTGTGCACACGAATCACCTGGGGGTAATGATAAAATGATTCAGATGCAGTAAGTCTGGAGCAAGGTCTGAGCGTCTAACAAATTCCAGTGTGGTGCCCATGCTGCAGCTCCACAGAACATACTCAGAGAAGCAAGAGCTGAAAGAATACTCTCTTCTCAGGCCATGGCAGAGCCACGGGCATGTGGGAGGACTGAGAGGTACTTTTATTCCATTTGAGTATGGCACTGAAGGCCCCAGTTAAAATACAAACCTTATGCAGACCCATACATGCTTGCAAACAAAGGACATGCTGGTTGAATTGGATTTACTGCAGGAGAGAAAAGATCGGGAAGATGGGGCACTGTTTAGCCCTATGGAAGAGTTGGGTCCAAGGACAATCTAAGGACTAAGCGGCAGCTGGGCATAAGGCAAGGGGATGCTGGAAGAAAGGACAGCGTGGGCAACGAATAGTATCAGCTATCATTGATTGCAGACTTACTATGCTCCACGTACTGCCTTATTCCATCCTCACAAACACCCCATCAGCTAGGCAGGATTGTCAACATTTTATTGACAAGGAATCAGACTTGGGAAGAGAGACTAAGTCATCGTCTAAAGGATAATCACCTCTAAACATTGTGTGGTGCCACAATGAGAACCTGAGTCTACTTTACTTCACCATTTTTGCCTAAAACCTGTGGATGAAGCAGTTTCCCAGAAGACAATGAGGCCAGCTATGGGGGGACTATTTGGTAACAGCAGCCTCCCTTAAAGCAACCACATCAGCAAATAATGTAGCAAAGGCCACAGCTCCAGCAGCAACATCCTGTAGGTCTCTACATCTATTCTTCCTTATGGGAGACTCATGTAC